ATCCCACCCTCACCCCCACCCCCAACCCCTGCCAATCTGGCAGCCGTGTGGGGCTGAAATGGGGTCTGAATCTCCTATTTGCTGGGAAGGGAGGGAGAAGGAGCGGGAAGGGAAAGGGGAAAAGAAGGATGAAGGGAGAGGGGAGGAAAAGGAAGCAGAGAGAAGGTGAGGAATAACTGAGGGAACAGGAAGGAAGTTCGGAAGGAAGAGGGGAAGGAGAGAGGAGTAACAGAAGAAAGAATGCACAGAGAAGTGAGGGATGGAGAGAAAGGGAAAGGAAAAGAGGAAGATGGGAAAAGTGGGGTTGAGGCAAAAAGAGAACCGGTGATAGGAAGAAGCAGCCGCAGGAGGCTGGAGGGGGGTTCGGGAAGCAGGCCCCTTATGGGTGCTGGTGCACGCAGTACGTGGCACACGTGAGGAGGGCCTGGGGGCTGCGGGTGGCGGCGGTGCTGACCTGTGCGGCTTCCTGCCTCTCTCAGCGCTCACTGCCTGCCTGCCGCACTGGCGATCTGCCTTCTGCTGGAGACTGGCTCCTGCCTGCTGCTGGCGGGCTGCTCCCAGCCTGCCTGCTGCTCCCACCCACAGGGGCAGGGAGAGCGGTGGGCGGAGTGGGCCTCCCAGGCAGGGGGCACAGGAGACCATGGGTGGTCGTGAGGCTAGCTCAGGGCTCCGTGGAAGCCAGGGCCCCAGGGCCAGGCTCCTAGAGGAGGAAGGAGGGTGCTCGGCTGGCTAGGAGCGCTAAGGCCCTCAACGCTGCTGGCCTCTGGATTTTGTGGGGAGATGACAAGTTCTGAAGTTTTTCTGTTTCTTTCTTTACAGCCTGAAGACCATTCACTTACTTTATCCTGAAGATGGCTGTCAGCCAGGAACAGAAACCCTGGGGGGACAGAGGGCCATCAGCGGCAGCCCCGGCCCCCACCGCCCTAAACCTCCCCCCGACTCAAGTCCCGCTCATCCTGGCGCAGCTTCCACAACCTCCCCCCGGCCCCCAAGAAACTGGCTCACCCCAGGGAGGGAGAGAGGGAAGGGCCAGACTTCAAGGAAGAATGGGACCAAGGGCAAAAGGGACCATGCCCAGAGCTACGATCCCCGCAAACACCCCATAGGGTGGCAGACTGGAGCAGGCCTGCAGCCGTGTGGGCAGGGTAGGGATGGGTGGGATTCGGGGATCGAGGAAGAGCAGCAGGGACCTCCAGACCTGCAGCTAAGAAGGAGAGTTGGCAGCATGGCCGCCACAAGCAGCGGGCCGGGCCACACTGCCTGGGATCCTGCCACTTGTCTTCCGGCACACCCCAGAGGTCGCTGAGCCCCATCTCCCATCCACAAGTCCCCAGACCCGCCTTCCAGCAGAGCCCACACTCAGAGCCGCTGGGGGATGCGGGGGAGGGCTGGGCAGGGAGAACCCTTCCCCACCTTCCTGCCAGGGAAAGGTCCAGGCTTCACACAGGCCAGGGAGAGAGCTACCCTCTGGCCAAGATGCAGGACTGTGCTACCTGTTGCCAATGTCACTGAGTCTGGGGACCGTCTGGGCACCTCTGGCTGGCAGGTGACGCCTTCGCTTAGCCACTTACCAGCAGGCGTCCAATTCAGGAAGCGGACAGGCTTCTTCTGCTACAGCTATCTCAGCGGCTGCTGCCCAGGGGCTGCAGCCTAAGCGGGACTGACCAGGGCCACCCTAGGGCCTGAAGATTAGGGTCTGACCAGGACACTCACCCTGGCAGAACGCCAGGGCCAGGCAGGGAACGCCAGGGTGTCGGGTCTGATGTGAAAGGGGGTCTGGGGACGGCTGTGAATCCCCAAGGACAAGCCGTATCTTCAGGGGCCCCTACCACTCGGCTCCAATCCGCCAGCCCGCCAACTGGCCCCACCCACCCGGCCTGCCAGGGGCTGCCTGCCTGCTGCCCCCTCTGAGCTGCACAGTGAGTTCTGGATGTCTTGTAAGTGGCATGGAAAGCTCATTATTGCTTCTAAGACCACGTCTAAGGAAAAAGGGGTCCTTAGAATTAAGCAAGAGGCGGGCACTGAACGCTACAGCGGAACAAGTCTGAAATCACGAATTAGGCTGGTGCCAGCGTGGAGGCCGGCATGGAGGACAGCGCCAGGAGTTCTGGTCTGGGTGGTTATCCCGTGGCTCCCATAGCACCACAGGTCTGACTGGTCACCGGAAGCTAGAGGCTGCGGCGCCCCCTGCCCCGGAGGACCAGGGTGGCTAAGAAGTCCGGGGAGGGCACTCACGTTGTCTCTTTGGTCAAAGTCGACGGAGCTGGAGACAGACGTGAGACGCTCATACCGGTCATGACTGTCCCCGTGCATAGCTGAGGCCACACTGGGGTGAGGAGACGAGAAATGAGAGAGCCTGGTGAGTCTGAGCCCCTGGCGAGCAGGGGTGAAGCGGGTGGGCTCCCCCTCCAGAGCTCCAGGCGTTAGACAAGGCACAGAAAGCGCAGTGGCTGAGCAGCAAGAAATGACTACCCTCTCCTGCCTCCCGTCAGTCTACCCCTTCCCTTCAGCGGGGTCTGGGGAAACAGACACAGGCCGCAGGGGGAAGGGAGGAGGGTGTCTTCATCATCGCCCCCTGGAGATTGAAGTGAGTGTGTGAACGGCCCTGCAGTTCCGGAGCTGACAGGGCACAGGGCAATGGGGAAGTAAAGGAAAGGATGGAGTAGGAGAGCCCCAGAGGGTGGGGATAAGGGGGGCGGGAGTGGGGGGATGCCTCCCAGGTGGTCCTGATCCACCCTCTTCCCTGTCCCCAGCAGCTGCCGAAATTCCAACACCAGTCCTACAGACAAGAGACCGAGACGTGACACAAGGGCCAGACCGGGGGCTCCTTGGGAAGCTCCCCTCTCAGGCCTCCAGGAGAAGTGAACAGAGAACCCTGGAATATGAAGAACCAGCAGTTAGGGAAGCCACAGGTGACACCCAATCTTGTCTCTGCCACCCACAGGGTGAGTGTACTTTGAATTTTCGGGAGGATGACCCCTCCACTCCAGCCAACCAGGGCCACGAAGGCTGGGGGCACGGGAGGGGCTTCTCCCAGGCAGAGAGCCAGGGAGAGAGATGGGGGGTAAGGCAGCGACAAGTTGGCGAGCCCCCTGCTCTGCAAAGCACACCGCCTGCGTTAATCCGAAAATGAGCCTGCAGAAGAGACAACTGCGAAGAGAAACCAGCAACTTGGCAGAAGAGGAGAGAAGCATGAGAGAAGGAAAGAGAAAGCTGGTTTAGTGGATGAGGGGGCTGGTGCCCCACATACTATTCCTGTTCCACTCGGTCCCTCTCCTGCCGCCGGAGCCTGGGGGCAGAGAACAGACAAAGTTAGGGGGGGGCGGGGGGAGGGAGGAGGGTCCCTGGAAATGGCAAGGGACAAAGGCCCAACTGGGGGCCCTCATGCCCCCCTTGCCTGCTCTGGGACGGGCCCCTCTTTGTCCCCCCAACAGGGGGGATGGCAGAGGGCTGGCCCTTTTCTAGAGGCGTGTGGAACAAGCTGTGTGCATGTGTGTAGGGGGGGGGCATGGGGGGAGGAGCCCCAAAGCTTTACCTGTCTGCATCTGTCACCAAGGCCAGCCGCCCATAGTCCCAGGCTACCTTCCGGAGGATGGAGAACAAGAACAGCAATGCCTGAGGGAAGAGGAGGGGTTGGCGGGTGGAGAGGCCACTCACGCGCTGGACTAGCCAGAAGAGCAGGGGCAGAGGGGCCAGCATCTTGTCTCAGAAGGGGGTGGCCCTGGCCTGGGTGAATGGTCAGAGGCTAGGCTTGGGCCATGTGATGGGGATCCCTCCTGCAGTTAAGCCTGGGGAGTCAGGGTCAGGTGGGAGAGTGGTTTGAGCTTTAGCATTAGCCAGCTCTGTACAGAGTGTGGGTGCCAAGGATGTGGGTGGCATGCGAGCACTCACAAGGAAGCACATGAAGTCGAGAGCCAGCACGGTGGGGACGCCCCCAAAGGGCAGGCCCTGCAGGACGGTGCTGCGGATGCGGGCGCTGTAGCAGTAGTCCTTGGGGTTGCTGTTGTTGAGGGCCGTGTTGCCCAGTGTGGCCAGCAGGAAGGGCAGCATGGCTGCTACTGCCGCATGGTCCTCCTGGGCAGAGGGCACAGTGGTCAGCAGGGGCTTGGCCCCAGTCCCTCTCAGAGCTCTGACAAGGTGGGTGAGGGGAGGGGGAAGCGAGGGCAGGTCACGGGGCTCCCTGGGTGGGTGGAAGCTCTGGCCTCCAGAGATAAGGGCCCGGGAAGGGGAGGGTTGAGTCACATACGTTTACCTTCACTGGTTCTCAGGCTGTGATGCCACCCGGGTCTGGGGAACTTGGCCCAGATCTGGACTGGGGAGACTGGTTTTTCTAAGCTAGAAGTCGTCTGCGGGCCTCTAATACCTACCACCCACCACCTCCACACACACTTGCAAATACTCTCCAAACACAGTGCCTCTGTGTCCTTCTTTCCCTGCGTGAGGCAGGGGGCCCGGCTGAGCCAGAGAGAAGATGGGGAGGGGACCTAGGCCTGAGGATCCAAGGCTAAAAGGAGGCGGGTGGGCCAAGGGAGGGTGGGCCAGGAGCCAGCAACCACACCCTGATCTTCTCTTTCTACCCCTATTAGAAAAATGGCACGTTTTCATTTGCTTTGAATTTTCAAGTGTTAATCACCTTCCCAATATAACTGACTTCAAAAATAAGATATTCATCTTCAGAGCTGCCCCCTCTGTCCCCAGAGTAGGGGGTCTGAGAATAGGGCCAGAGTGGGAAGTCATTAAAAAGCAGGACTTCTGGATCTGTGTTACTTGCTAACCCAGTCACTGTCGCTTACTCTCATTCCTTTTCCCCTGCCCAGGCAGCAGCTACCAGGGGTGGGCAAACTTTTTGACTCGAGGGCCACAATGGGTTCTTAAACTGGACCGGAGGGCCGGAACAAAAGCATGGATGGAGTGTTTGTGTGAACTAATATAAATTCAAAGTAAACATCATTACATAAAAGGGTACGGTCTGAGCCTGCATGGCCCCTCTTGTCAAACAGACCATTCACCCACCTCATCCTGAGATTCAAGAATCCCTTGAAGGAGAACCAAGATGGCGACATAGGTAAACACCGGAGTTTGCTGCCTCAAACAATCACTTCAAAAATTTCAAACAGGCCGGATCCGGCCCGCGGGCTGTAGTTTGCCCACGACTGCTACACCCTTCTCCACTAGACTGCCTCACCTCCAATTATTTCTGCACCGGAGTCACCTGAATGGTGTGGAGACTACAGCTCCCAGAGTGCCCTGCTCCAGAGGCAGGAGCAGGGCAGTCTGGGAATGCCGTGCCTCCAGCGAGCTTTTCCATTGGCTAAGGAAGGGCGAGTGGGCGGGGGCCTCTTATCCTGCCCAGAGCCCTGGCTGCCGGGTGCTGCCATCCAGTCTGGTTCCCTGCTACTGTAGGGCTGCCCAGCCCTGGATGGTCCGACGGTCCAGGCGGAGGGTGGGGAGAAGAGAAGGGACAGGCAGCCCAGATGCCTGGGTTCTGGAAGTGCCTGGGGACGGCCACGCAGGGCTCTGGGGAGGCGCCCAGGGAGAAGTGTGGCTGTGGCATCACTGCCCCACCCCGTTTCACTGGAGGACCCCTGGGGCCCCCTCCTGCTGACAACACTGTCGCTCTGCTTTGTGGGGGTGGGGAGGGGTGGTGTCTCCAGGGAAGAAAGGAAAGCAGACAAAGAGAACAACAAACCCAGAATGGGTGACTGCAGCCGGGTCGTGTCCCCACAGCCCCATGGGGTGACTCAGAGTTTTTCCTGCCCACCAATTCCTGCACCCCCCCCTCCCCAAACACTTAAACCACAGGGCAAGAGGCACGAACTCTTAGATGGAGGGAGGTTTATGTGTTCCACTTGGTCCCCGGGAGTCTCTGAAAGCCTGGTAGGAAGCTAAGGGAGTAACTGGCCCGTGTGATACGCCTCCTCTTCCTTTCCAGCCTAAGTTGCCTTACCCCCCCGCGCCCCCCCCCACACACACTAATTTAGTAATTATAGCAGGTGTCATTTAGAGTACCCATGATTTCAAAAATACATATATGATTTCATTTAATCGACAATCCTGAGTTAGATGACACTGGCATTTTAAGATGAAGACATGGGGGCTCAAAAAGGTTAAGTAACTCCTGAAGTCACACTACTAACAAAACGATGGGCCTGGGATGCAAACCTAATTCCACTTCTTTCTAAAGCTAGACCACTCTTCAGGGCACCACGGCGCTCTCCCAGTGTGCCTAGCATAGGGCTCTGCAGGCCACGGAAACGCGGTATGTGCTCATTCAGTGTCCTCTGGCGAGAGAACACGGGAGCACCATGGGTGTGCACCTAGGTTTGTAAATGCATGTTGATGTATTTATGTGTGTGGGGTGGGGTGGGGTGGGGGGCAGCTAGGTGTCTGCATGGCAGCCCACAGAGATGGAGTGAGTGTTAGGCTCTAAGTGGGGGTATGTATGTGGGGTTATCTGGGAGCCTGGATGTATAAACACAAGGTGCCCAGAACTCTGGGGTACCAGGGGAGGTAAAAGGTAGGTATAGGTCACTTGGGTCTCTGGCAGTTGAGGGGCATGTACACTAGTCCCCCCTGAACCCCCAACTCCAATGCACTCCAGAAATTAAGATAGCCCATTCCCACTCCTTGTCTGTTTCTCTCCTCAACTCCAAGGCTCCACCAGGTCAGAAGGTAATGGGTACAAACCCCTGGAGCACCCCCCTACACGCATCTTCTCCAGTCGGAAAGATGTGGAATATTCTTGCACTTCTATATTAAGGGAACCAGGTAGGGTGCATGAGGAGGGTCCAGGTAGATGCTTAGTAACTGATATCACCATGTGCACGGGGACTTCCTTTTTACAGTCACAAAGCACTCTGCCCCCCCGCCCCCTAAATTGCACCGATCTTCCCACCAATCCATGAGGAAAGCAGGGCAGGCTCGATCAGAGCACTATCCCCATTTTCAGGGACCCAGGGAGGAGAACCCACTCAAAGGAGGTCACAGGGCAGGTAGGATGGAGCCAGGGCTGGTGGCTCTGTTTGCTGACAGGGTTACTCCACGCACTTAATTGTGGGGGTGGGTTTGCTGGGCTGTTTCACCCAGGGCAGCTGTTTCCTCATTGAGAGCAGCAGAGAGGGAAGAGAATGAGGCAGATTTTTTGGGGGGGAGGGGGTAGGTAGTAGGGGAGCAGGAGAGTTCCTCCACTCCATGGGGTTGCCAGAGCCAGCCGTATCCCGGAATTTCTCTCGTCTGATGCAGGCTTTTAGCTGGAAGTGTGTAGAGAGTGATGGAGGATTTTATTTATGGCTAACTGAAGGCTGTTATTTTACCATTAAGAAGAGTGTGCATGGCAGGGGTGGGAGAGTTATAAGTTACAAGTCTTTTCTTACGGAGTTACTTGGGAAGATTTAATTTAGGGCTTGGGATCCTAGGAAGATAGTGTGATCTAATGGGAGGAGAGGAAGACGGAGGCTACTCTGTTACTATGTAACCTGGGCCTCAATCTTCTAATCTGTAACAGAATTAATAGCCTCTCTCTGTTCCTACCAACTTCAGAGGGATGGGCAAAAATGTATCCATAAATGAGCAGGAAAAGAATGCATTTATCAAATACTTCTTTAACTCTTATTCTGTGCCAGGCACTGTTCTAAGCACTTCACAAATGTTAGCTCATTTACTCCACATCACAACTCTGGGAGGACAGTGAGGTACCGAGAGGGTACATAACTTGCCCAATGTCACACAGCCAGCCTGTGGTAGATCCGGATATGGGCCGAGGCAACCCAGTTGAAGTTGATGTTCTTAACCACTGCACTTTGCTGCCTGGGCCAACAGAGGAGCCACTTCTACCAGGAGGCTGGGGGCTGCCAGCTATCGCTCTGGAAAATGCCACACCCTATTTTCCACCTGTTTGCCTTCTCTCTTGCTTGTTCCCCCCCCCCCCCCCCGTCCCCCCAACACACACACACTCAGGCCTTGGGTTTGTGATTTTAGGTTCTGGGGCAGGTGTAGGAAACAAGGCACAAAGCCTGGTGGGTAAAAGCACAGGCTCGAGCATGAGACAGATAGGGCTTGACCTGGGCAAATTACCACCCTGGGCCTCAGTTCCTTCATGCGTAAAATGGGGCAATAATGCAGTCGTGTGGTAGTTTTGAGGATTAAACAAGATGACTTACGTAAAGCTCTTAATACAGGTCAAGGTACATAATTGGTTCTAAAAAAATTACCTTCTGTTATTAATAAAGTGTGGGGAAAAAACTGTTCAAAATAAAAAGAAAAACAAAACATATAATTTAATATGATAGAGCCCCTCGGTCAGGATGGGCTTCTTGTTTCCACCTACGGGCTTATACCACATTCGGGGCTCTGCCACTGAGAGGCAGGGGATGTTCCCAACTCTTCAATCGTACCCACTCCCTGGGTAGCAGGAGGTGGGAGTACAGGAGGGTGATGCTATGCTAGGATGGGTCAGAAGTTCAGAGAAGAGAACCCATTATTGATCAACTACCAGGCAGGGTGCCAGACTCTACCTGTGTCGTCTACTTTGATCCCCACGATAAATCTTGAAAGGAAGCGATAGCAAACACACTTTTTAACTGAAACTGAAGTTCAGACAGGTGAGGTAACTTGTCAAGGTCACACAGCTCAAGAGTGGCAGAGCGGAATTTGAACTGAAGTCTCCAAGACTGTTATAATTGGAGGGAACTTGTGGGATGTCTAAAAGGGGTTCTTAGCGACCCTCCACCTGCCTTGTGCCTTGCAACAT